AGTTGAGTTGCTGCCTTTAATTTTCCAAACTAAAGTTAAAGTTTTACTTCTCTAACAAACCGATACTAATGCATTTTTTGCTTCAAGAAATAAAAATAAAATATTTGTTTTTTTTTTATGAATAAAAATAGGGTCACTAGGTTAATAAAAAAAAATATCTCAAAAAAGTTATCTTTAAAATTCACTATTTCTTAAAATTATTAGTTTATTAGGAAATTTATGAATGCCTATGTGAGTCACTTTGTCACTGAGGATTCAAATTGAAAAATTTTACAATAATAAAAAATACCGTTGTTTTTCTTAACACAGAGTCGTCAGTTCTTATTTAACTCGTTTAGTCTAGTTCTCTTTTCATTTTGTCTTTATATTTTGACAGTGTTGTTGTTCTATGTCATTTGGGGACTTTGAAAACTTGCCCACTCGAAAGACACTTTCGTGAAGCCCGTTCACATGATGATTTTGGCGACCCCCTAACACTTAGCGCCCTGAGCAAAAGTACCCTCCACACCACACTCACGATCGAGCCTTCCCTATAGATGGAGCCGAATCGAAGGGGAGAATGGGCCGTGACCCACCACGCGGGCTCAATTGGTAGCCGGCACCAACGGCTTAACCTTCCTAAGCACAAAGGAACTTGATATAATATTTTTTTTTGGTCTTATAACCGGTCATTGTCAAAATTGCTTAACTTTTGCATCACCGACCAAACGCGGTAACCTTCTTCTTCACCTTTTTTCTATTTCTTTTTACTCATCCTTAATTTTAACAGGTATGCGTCGATCAGCACAAGGACCGGCGCCTCGCACTTGTCTTTTATGCGGTGAAACAGCCCGTCTACTGGCACCACTCAGAACCTGCGTGATATGCCGACATTCTGCCTGTCCCAAATGTGTTATTGATACACCACCGCACAGGTTAGTCTCACTATAAAGGGGGAAAACTGTCGTCAATCAAATTCTTTATTTGCACTTGCACTAATACCCGTTTTCACTAAACTTAATATTCGTCCAAATCTGTAGCCTAAATATTTAGGAATCGCCCAAGGTAAAACTGTACTTCAACGAAGTCTAGGCATAAAAGTAATAACATGCGTTATGTGGCGCCTTGAGCTTTGCATTTGCGTAATATGTCAGGGCACAAATAGATAAAAGACTATTTAAAATTTGGTATTAAATTAATTTGTTTATAATTAAAATTCCTTCTTAAATTATTCCTAATAGAGGATTTGTAAATAAGTCCAAATAATTCGCAAATTTTATCTTAAAGTATATATTTAAAATTCAAAGTGTATATATAAAATAATATATAATAAACCAGTGATGACATACGGAACTGAGACGTGGCCGCTTACAATGGGCCTCATAAGGAAGCTCACGGTCGCTCAGAGGGCAATGGAAAGGGCTATGCTCGGGGTTTCTCTGCGCGATCGAATCCGAAATGATGAGATCCGCAGAAAAACGAAAGTCACCGACATAGCCCAAAGAATTGCGAACCTCAAGTGACAGTGGGCAGGGCACATCGCTCGCAGGACTGACGGCCGTTGGGGCGGTAAGGTCTTGGAGTGGCGACCGCGTCACAGGGTGGACCAACGATCTGGCGAAGGTCGCGGGAAGCCCCTGGATGCGGGAGGCGCAGGACCGATCACGTTGGAAATCTTTGGGGGAGGCCTATGCCCAGCAGTTGGCGTCTCTCGGTTGATATGATGATATAATAAATGTATTTCAAAGTGTGTATTCCACTTTAGGTATAAGTACTATTCAGGAGCGTACCGTAAATCTTAAACACTACGATGAAACAGTAGCATTAAGCACTACTTATTTGTGTTATTTATACCATAACTTATCTCATCCAATTGGGAAACATACCAAAATAAACCCAATTTGTCACAACTGACAATCCATCAAAAAATTCTAGCAAACACAATCCAACATCATATATGAACAAAACAGCTTTACACGTGGAAAGTTGGACAAATATTGGATAAAAATAGCACGTAAGGGTTAAATGTAAGGTTGTCAAAATAAATACGAGTACATTTCAAATGAGATAAATAAAAATATACACTTATAAAAAGAGTATCATAAATGTCTTATGTGAACACAGAACCTGTAAAGAGTCCGAAACGTCAATAAAACTAAATACGAACGCGATGATACCGTTTAAAATTTGTTTCACTTATGTAAAATATAAGAAATCAATAGAGAGTATCATTTTAACATCACATTAAAAATTAACCGGCTTCAAAAACATCTTGATAAAGTGAAACGACGGAAAAGAGAGATAATACCCCAAATTTATGTCTTCAATGAAATCGAAACACAACAAGCGGATACATTAACAAGTTTTTTTAAGCCGGTGCGAGATAGGTATTTATAAAATAAATATCATATATGGATAGAGAAAAATAGATTTTCTGATAGTGCTATTTTACTTCTTACTAACACAATATTAGTAATTATTAGACAACATCACATGCATTATTCTTAATATAAAATGCTTAAAAATCCACTTGGTCCCTGGCACCCTGAGATGGGATTCGAACCCACGACCTTTCGCAATCCGGGCAACTGCTCTAACCGCTGAGCTACCCAGGACCTAACAGGACTGACCAAGTGGATTTTTCAAGCATTTTGTAGTAAGAATAATTTTCAGTATGGCATTGTGAATGCAAAATTAATCAAAATATATTAATTACATGCATTGCTCAGAAATATCGAAGGCACCACATCAACTCAGACTCTAGACATTTTCTATATCGTCTAAGACAGTAATTGAACCTAGAACTTGAGAACTTCTCGACCACAGATATCTAACTCATAGACTTATATATAACATAAGCTGTAGTCCTGCCAATTTGCACGAGTAAATTATAGCTTATATTCACCGCATATGATGTAGGTCTATAGGTGAAAGAATTTTTCCAATCGGTAGAGTACTTTCGGAACCTACTCGATACAAACAAACGATCAAATCTTTCCTCTTTATAAGTATCAATAAGAGGAGTAATAAATGATTTTGAACAGTACAATATTTAGTCGACACCCTCAGAATTCAAAACAAAAGTTATTTTGGTTTTGAAGAAGACTGGGTACAATACAAACAATACTTCACAGTATTTAATTAAAAATAACGCCATTTACACGAAATAGTATACCTTTAAAAGGTCATTTATAGTAATTCATAAATATAATAGTAAATTCGTCTGTAGAAGTTTCTGGAACAAGTTGTCCAAGCATACTCATCTGCATATAATTCTGAAAAGTAATCTTCTTAAGTGATATTGGATTTACTTTCCTTTTAATATAAAGAGTCTTTATATCTATATATATAAAAATGAATCGCAAAATGTGTTGGTAAGCGCATAACTCAACAACGCCTCGACCAATTTGGCCAAATCTTTTTTTAAAATGTTCGTTGAAGTTCAAGGATGGTTTTTACGGCGAGAAAAATTAGAATTATTGCTGGAAAAACCCTAAAAATAGCCCTTTTCTTTTTCCCATACAAATGATTTGTAACTAAAACGTAGTCAATTTGAGCTTTATTGCTATGGTATAAAGTTCATATTAAATTACAAGCATTCACTGTTGTCTAAGCAATGTAGGTGTGTTCCTAACGTCAAAGATCATATCTATCAAAACAATGTGCGTGTGTGCGTTGGAGCACAGAATACATAGTTGGAGGAGTTTAATGTCGCGTTCTGAAACTCGCGTTTCTTTTGTATTAGTTTCGGCACGCGAGATAAAATGCATCAGTTTCCACTGTGAGTTTCCACGTCATTACATGTATTGCCGGAACATTGATGAAAATACGCTCTGTAGTAGCAAAGCTGTTGGGTCCTAGATAGCTCATTGGTTAGAGCAGTCCCTGGATCGCGAATGGGTTCGAGTCCCATTCCTACCTGTACCCCGGTAGATGGATTCTTCCAGCATTTTTCCTTGAGAATGTTTATATATTTTTTTAATTCGAATAGTTTACTTTTATAATGCTGTTGTGTGTAATGTGTTTTTATGATCATAAAAATCTCTTTTTTCTATATTTAATACTATTACTATTAATACATTGCAATAATAATTATGATTCACATGATTAACAATAAAGCGATTACTTACTTTTAAATCCTTATATATGTTTTATTTAATTATTTTTTATTCACAACGCCCTATCACCAGGGTGACGGTTCTGTTCAGGAGAATTTTTTTAAATACGTAGGCAAAAAAACTGCCACATTACAAATCTTTTTGACAGGACGAAGTCTGTCGGGTCAGCTAGTTATAAATAAAAGTGAAGCACGTTACGACTTGTATTTCTATTACGTTCTATTAATAACTCAATATCTTTGTAATGGGTGTTCCTCGTATTGTTTTGCTTTGAAAGTGAAATATGTTTATGTAAACGAATAATCACCAATTAATCGTGATACTGTTACCATCAGCTTAATGTTTTTGAGTACTATTGACTAAGCAATACGTTCTGAATTTGCATGTTCGCTAATTGACGTTGATGACTGAAAATGAAGATCAATTGTCTACGTAGGTAATGGAGATGTTTGAATATAATGGAACAAGTGTTATAATCGGAGCCAAGTTTATTTATGTGGGCTATTTTAATTATACTTCGTTTTAAAATAGTAGTCAGTAGTCGTTACGAAACAAATTATGTCGCTAAATACTGGCAAATTATTATCAAATAGAAAAATTAAATCTAAACTGCTTCTGAGCGATATTGGACTTTGATATAGATTCTTAACATTATCTTACTTTGTCATACATACTTAATTATTTTAATTTTATAATGCTAATTGTCAATGTATGGAGTATGTTTCTTATTAGAAATATGATTTCCAAATAACTTTTCCCAATCTACATTCAGATAGACTTTTTATAGTATAAATTTTTGCTAATACCTGAATGGAGTAATTTCATGGATACATTAATTCACAAGATATGCATTAAAACATTTTTCTACAATAAACCAGGTCTCCGTTGAGCAGAGAACAGTACATGTGTAACCTGTGTGCGGAGACGAGAGAGATGTGGAAGAAATCCGGCGCGTGGTTCTTCAAATCCCTCCCCAAATACGTCCTGCCCGAGAGAAGAACGACTGGCAGATACACCGAATCCGAGCTGGCGAGGACCTTACAGGTAACTACCGAGAGCTCATGACAAAAACGTGCAAGAGCATTCTCGAACTTGATATCTCAGTATGTTGAAGTAGGCACATCACACATATAAAATACTCAGAGTTTCAATTAACGAAACAAACATATTCAGCAATCGCTAGAAGTTTGTTACGTGTCACCGCCATCAGATGTTCGAGCAACTGACCTCCGCACCGGGTACTGTGTGATGAATACAGTTAGTACTTCAATATTCTCAAACATCAAACTTTGGAAAGCTATTGCCCATTTTTAATGATTTCTTAGACTATAAACATGATGTACTAGGAGAAGGATTTATAATATTAAATGATGGTATCACCTTCATGGATGCTGCAATCCTTTAAAGTGGTACTACTCGCAATAAATATTTATAATTCTTGCTTTACTGACTGACTGACGGCAGACAACGTACAGCCGTTATAACTCAGCGTATAAAGTTGAAATTAACGGCGGGCGTTATTAAAGCTAGTTATTTATATAAATATTTCATAAATCAACTCATTAACAAGTTCTAAAGCGCTTTTATTTGTTTGTTTTTATATGTTCCGTATCCTTTGCAGAAGCCGTGATGAGAAAATTAATATACCAAAGTAAATAGAACTTTATTAATATAGCAAAATATATTTATTCCTTTTTTAGATTAAAGTTATTTAAAACATACAAATGCACTATTTGTCCGTATTATAGCGTTTATTATTACTATTTCTGTCCACATAGCGTTATTTTTGATAAGAGAGATCAATTTAAAATAACTTCAAGTATACCATATGTTGAAGAAAAGTTATGGCAACATTATATAACAATATAACTGTGTACCAAAAACGATACCCTACAATACATAACATATAACTGTGGACCAACAACTAAACCCTGCAGTACATCATTGCACTTCGCAACGCTATTCGACAAAGAATAGGAAAAGTCTATTCGCTAATAATGTAGTTAATAAAAATAAAGAAAATGATTAAGTAGTAACTTAACTATTTGTTCATGTTTATAATTTTTGTAATTCATAGATTATTGTTATCATTATTATTCATATACAATTATTTTATTAATTAATATTATTGTACATATTTAATCATTATTATTATTATTTTATTTAGTTATTTCAACAATAATATTATTTTTCATAATTTATATTGAAATTATAATTGTGTCATCTTTCTATAGGTAAGGCCTTCTCTAAAGCTGACCAATCCTCTCTAGATTGCGTTTTTTGTTGCCAGTTTAATACAGCTGTATTTTTATTTCATCCACCAATCGCGCGTGAGGTCTTCCCTAAACTCGCTTGCCCTATGGCCTCTTCCAAGTCGTCACTTCCTTAGTCCACTTCTTATCATCCAAACGTACTATATGCCTTGCCCATTACCATTTTAGTGCCAGTGCGTGAAGAAGGGCGTCAGTTACGTTGGTAATTTTTCTTATTTCTTACCAGTATAGTTACTATATTATTAAAAGACGCTATACTTTTACAATCATAACAGCTTTATTTGTTTATCCTATTTTACGCTTAAGCCAATGAATTTTTAATTAAAAAATTTAAAATTTCAATGAATTAATAAAAAGTAGATATAGAAATATAATTCAACCTTGAAGAAAGACTACCCCACTAAATACATATTATACAGGCGAACCTGTTACGCTTCCATACCTAAACCACTGAACAAATTTTGACGTTTATAGAGTTAACCTAGAAATAGAGTTACCTATGTTAAAGGACATAGGTAACTTTTTGCAAAAAAGGGGTTGAAATGGCGGTTGAACATTTTGTATTGACGTTTGTCATTGATATATATAAAAACGTTATTAAGCACTTATTAAGATATAAATACATATCTGTTTTAACTTTTTTAAGGTGCGGGTAAAATCTAGTGGGTAAACTCGAAATTTACTGAAGAACCATTTCTCGAGTTGAGGATAAGTTTATATTTTAATACAACAAATTTAAAGCGGTTAAAGCGCGTGTAATTTATAGATTTTATTACATTTTTAGACATCTCGGATCCTTCGTGGCCTCTATGATAACTAAATTTAAATGTTACTACATAGTATATAAAATACACGCTGTTTTCCCCCGACTTGCCCGCGTAAATAATAGCCTACAATATGTAACTTGAGTATGTTAATATAGTTGCCCGTTCAAAAAAGTTTTTAGTATTTGGTGCTATATTTTGGAAGCCTATTCAAAGCAAACAAACAAAAAATAAAATCTTTCCTTTTTATACGATATTAGTATAGATTGTATGTTAGGTACCGTCCTCCATATCAACTTCATTTGTTATTTTTTTATTCTTTTATCATTATAATCATAATCAGTATATAAGTTCTACGTCTTCCCATATGGCACACGCCTTTCGTATGGATGTAATCAAACAGTGGGACCAACATTTCTTCAATCAACCGGTCACCCATCCTATAACCGACCTTTACGAAAGTTGCTTAACCTTAGATGCTAAGGTTAAGTAGAGTAAACGCGCTAATTACGGCACAATCGAGAAAGTTATATTATATAATAGTATCATTTTTATCACTATAACCGCCACTTCAGAGAAGCCTGTCTGAGAAGGTGAAGGGAAATTTTGATAAAATAAATATTATTAACCCGTCTTTTTATTTATGATGTATACAAAGTCTCGTGCGATTAACAGCAACTTTCAATACACAAGTACACAATATAATTCTGTGATATTACAATGTGTCTGTAAAACATTTTAATATATATCGCTTCCCCTTGTTTGCAGGTATATTCGAAGAATAAATGTATTTGACCATATCGTTTCGTTGCTACATTGAAATATCTAAAAATTTAAGCTTTACTATTAGTTTGAGATAATACATATTTGGTAACCCACCCTATGACCGACACTTGCGAATTTTTTAAAAGTTACCAACCGGATAAAACTCGATAGCGTGAAGGTCGTCGGGCTTGACAACAGCTTACGCATTTATGTCTCTCCTTCACTTTAGCTTTCTCGCAACCGATCTATAATACTATATTTAATATTACTTCGTGGAACTCATCCCTTCATACATAATATATAAATTGACTTGCTAAATAACCAGATGCCAAACAAAATATTTTTGTTTGTGTTTAATTGACTACTCCCTCCCCAAAAACAACATGATATCATGTGAAATAATCTAAGATGTAGATTAATTAGATTAAAAAACACAATTGGACCCAGAAAGCCCTCGATTGCCTATTAGAAAATTACAATAATATTTTCGTTTCAAAATCTGGTGGCCATGTTTATTTTAAACTATGTGAAAATGAATAAAAGCCATGGTTATTTTACTCATAAACCTTGTAAATAAAACTTTAAAACAACAAGTAAATGCACCATCATCTGTCTCTATCATACCAAAGAATATACTAAGGATATACCAATTTTTTTACTCAGTTTCTTTCATATAAATGTAGATTACCTATTTCTATAAAGAAAAAAGATTTGATTTCTAATAAAAAAAATCCACCAACTCCATGTATCATGGGATCGAGTCGTTTTCGTCCATGGGAGATTACCCTGAGTGACCCAACACGTGACCCCAGGGTGGTGCTAAGCAAGCGACAACATACTGGTGGTAGGCTTAAGCCGTGGATAGTGACCACCCACCGAACAAAGCCGTAACGCCAAGCGGCCTAGCCGTGTTCCGCCACGATGTTCGGTGAAACCGTTAGTGGAGATAGGTCGAAGCGGTTGCTCCTTTCCTCGATGCCGATTTCTGGCTTGTGTCATGCAGGCGGCATCGGGTAGCTGGTCATGGAGGGTAGCGGGATCCGAGGCACGGTGCTCCGCTGGCCGACCGCAGATAGTAGGGGGCCCAACTAGTGAGCTAGCCACTCATGAAAGGCTGCCCCGCCAACTAGCGAAAAATCTCGGAGTACGCCATCATGCCGGTCGCCAACCGGCATGATGGCGTACTCCGACCGGTTGGATGTAAGGGCCTGATGGACAACTCCGGGGGGGCTCGGGCGTCCCCGCAGTCCCGAGACCAGTTCCCCATCGGTGTTGCTGTTTGATACGTACCAACAGGGCGTGAGTATGGTGCAAGTGTTTACTTCTAGCCTCACACCGAATCACTCCTTCACATGCAATTAAGAAAGAGAAAATAAGGCTCAACAGCGGATGCACTCCCTTACATTCAAAGTACACCTCACTAATATAAGAGGTCTGCACTCAAATATCGTGCCGGTCCATCACCATCTGGAGACCGTTAAGCCTGCACTCTTCTTTCTTACGGAGAAGCAGATAGGAAATCCGTCAGACGCGTCGTACTTGTTGTATCCCGGATACTCCTTAGAGCAGAATTTCAAGCGGAAAGCCGGGGTATGCCTTTACATCCGCGGCGATATTTGCTATCGGCGTCTCCGTAATCTAGAGGATCCCAGATTCTCTGTCCTTTGGGGTCTTGTGGACACAGGTCAAGAGAAGATACTCTATGCATGTGTCTACCGATCGCACACAGGAGACGTGGAGACAACCAGGTTTCACGAATATCTTGTCGAGGCGGCAGATGCTGCCCAAGTGACGTACCCGACGGCCCAACTTGTGTTTCTGGGGGATTTTAACGCCTGTCACGAGACGTGGCTATTCCCATACCGGAAAACAGACCACGCCGGGAGGGAGACGCGTAAGCTCGCTTTAGCGTTAGATCTCACCCAGCTAGTCCAATGTGCTACTCGGGTACCTAACGTCGAAGGGCATACACCCAATTGCTTGGACCTTCTGCTGACAACTGATCCAGACCGATACTCAGTGTCGGTATCGGCTCCCTTGGGTAAGTCCGATCACTGCGTGGTGAAATCCGTGTCGGCACCCGGCGGTTGTGGCGATACAAATCAGCAGATTGGGATGAGACGCGATCTTTCTTTGCATCTTATCCTTGGCAGTCCGTATGTTTTTCTCAAGCAATCCGTCAAGCTGCGCGGACGCTGTGACTGAAGTACTTCGACAGGGTATGGAATACTTCATCACGTTTTCCGACGTACCGATGTCCAACAAAGCTCAACCTTGGTTCGGGGCTAAATGTAGATACTCTGAAGCGTTGAAGCAAGAGGCGTACCTGGCCTGGGTTGATGCTCGACACCGCAAGGCAAATGACATACGTGAGAGGAAATGAAAATTCAACAGCGCTGCCAAGTCCTGCAAGAAGGTGTTACAGAGGGCTCGCCTCAACCATATCAGCTGAATAAGGGCCAAACTGGCTTCGTATCCTTCGGGGAGTAAAGCGTTCTGGTCCCTAGCTAAATCGGTTGAGGCGAACTTCTAATTGGACACTGGCCCACACCGCTGAAGAGAAAGCAAATTTGTTTGCATCTCTGTTTGCAGAAAATTCGCGTCTTGATGCTGGTGGCGCTAAACCTCCATCTCAACCTGGTGGTTGAGCCTCCTGGTAGAGGCCCGACGAAAATGTCGGAAACTAGCATTCGCCAAACGGAGGTTCGGAGAACGCTGCGTAAGCTTGACGTGAATAAAGCCAGTGGACCCGATGGTATCCCAGCCATAGTCTTAAAGACCTGTGCACCTGAGTTGTCTCCCGTCCTGACACGCCTGTTTAGACTGTCTCTAGCAACTGGTATTGTGCCGAAATAGTGGAAGCTTGCTAACGTGCAGCCCGTGCTCAAAAAGGGCAGTCATGCTGACCCTGCCAACTACAGGCCCATATCTGTCACCTCCATACTCTACTCTAGGTACGCCAAGAGCCTGCCGTTTAGGAGAGCATGGAGCGTGTCCTAAACGGCAGGCTCTTGGCGTACCTAGAATCCAATGATCTCCTTAGTGACCGTCAATACGGATTTCGTCAAAATCGGTCCACGGGAGATCTTCTAATGGACGCCACACATATCTGTAGTGAGGCCATCGAGAAATACGAGGAAGCACTAGCTGTTTCCCTTGACATCTCTAAGGCATTCGACAGTGTTTGGCATGACGGCCTTATTAACAAGCTTCCATCGTTTGGACTGCCACCTGGCTTATGTGAATGGATATCGGACTTCTTGAGGGACAGATCCCTACGAGTGGTCGTTGACGGCTGCTCCAAATGGCAATTAATGCCGGTGTCTCTCAGGGATCCGTGCTCTCTGCGACCTTATTTTTGCTGCATATAAACGATCTGTTGAAACCCGGTATCTTTGGGTATGCAGACGACAGTACCGTCATGGAGAGGTACATGTCCAGTCCGAGAGTGAGCCCGGCTGATATCCAGTCTTGCAGAGAAGAAATTGTTGAGCGTCTGAACCTTTCCCTCCAGGCAGTGTCCGATTGGGGCGATGCCAATCTGGTAAGTTTCAACGCCACCAAGACACAGGCGTGTCTTTTCTCCTCCAAAAGGAGGCCGTTTGAGCCGGCCCCCGCATTCCGGGATGTAACCATACCGGTCACGGACCAATTTGACCTTCTTGGTGTGACATTATCTTCAACGCTCAATTTTGGCTCATACATTGAGTCTAAAGCTCAGCTAGCTGCGAAGAAGCTCGGTATCCTCTCGAAGATGCAAAGATACTTCACGCCGGAACAGCTGCTTATACTATATCAAGCGCAAGTGCGGTCCTGCATGGAGTACTGCTCGCACCTTTGGGATGGTTCTGCCAAATACCAGCTTCAAGCGTTGGAGACCATCGAGAGGCGCGCCAAGAGGCTCATTGGAAGCGACGCTCTTTGGAAAAAGAGAGTACTAAGTCTTGAGCATCACCGCAAAGTCGCTGGTCTATCGGTCTTCTATCGGTTACATTTCGGCAAGTGTGTATCGGAATTACACGACTTAATTCCGTCGTCCCCTTTTCACTATTGTACAACCAGGGGTACTGGGAAGCGTCACCGCTTTACAGTGGAGATTCCACAAACTTGCACTAAGCGATTCGCCTCTATATTCACCGTGCGAACTGCGAAGCTGTGGAATTCGCTACCGGACTCGCTATTTCCGGGCAAATATAATCTGGGACTCTTCAAGTCAAAAGTGAATCGGTTCCTTCTAGGCAAGCACGCTCCACCTTTGACCACTGCATTGCTTACCATCAGGTGATCTGTGGTCAAGTGCTTGCCTATCTAGAATAAAAAAAAAAGGTATACAGCTACCAGCTATATGTGAATGTAAAATTGGTCAAATTTAATAAAAATATCTGAGTGTTTGTTTGGGTGAATTGAATTGGTTCCGACTACTGGACCAATTTTAGCTGTAGTCTATAGCTTATGTGATATCATTCGCGTCGTGATGTCGCGGGAAAATAGAGAGTATATTTATATTTTTATAGCCAATGTTAAGCATAGAAACTTGAATAAAGACAATATTTTTGACGTAATAATCTAATTAAAAAACAACTTATGGAACCGAAAAGAATATGCATGTTTCCTATGAATTAGTGATGCAACTCCAGCCCTTTTTTTATCGAGTTTCTGTGCATTCTCTTGGCAGTTTATACACTGTCAAATCTCTTTAAATTGTATTTTATTAAGGAATTTGTTTAAAATTACGTTTACGATGACATTACTTTAATTTGATTACAAAAAAAATATTTAAAAAAAAACGAAACCATACCGCGATGTAGAAATAATATAGCGCTACATATCTATTGGACAAATAAATAATGATTTATTTTAAACATAATCTATTATCAACAACAGGTTATTATGAATAAAGGCCTTTGTTTTAATGAAACAGTAAAGCTGAATGTTAATTTGAAATATGAAAGACATAAAACTTACAGCGAAACAGAAAGGAAAATTAAAACCGGCTTTAGACGTTAGCTACTGTTGGTACAATACAAGATACAAGACGACGGGTCCCAAAAACAAAGATGTAACTACAAAATGTTGAACTTTCAGAATGTGGCTGTTAAGTTGCTAAGAATTTGAATTGAATTATAATTAATTGGTTTAAAACACAAAGTTCAAGAAACCATTTTTCAACTATAGTTTATTTACTTAACTGACATTATTTCCGGGTTCTAATAACTGATTTAAAACTGTATTTTTGTGAAATAGTTTCGTATGATAAATTCAGTTTATGTTTTTCGGTACACTATAACGCACATAAGTGTAAAAACGATCATTCTCTAAAAAGCTTAATAACTTAGGTGTATATACAACGTTGATCTTCATATTTTGATGAAAATATCTAAAATGTAAGTTGCTTTCAATGTTGTCATTTAATTTAAAAAAAAACGGCGAAGACGAGTTTTATTTGCGCACGAAGAGTTCTTTAGCGGCAATGAGCAGAAAATCCTGGACTTATCCTCACCACTAAACTGATCCCATGACATCCTGACTAAAAATTATTCACGTTTTCATTGCATTATTAATTTCTTAAGGACGGTGGAAACAGCAGCAACGAGGGCAAGACAGACTCCGAACCTGGTTCTCCACTGAGCATTCATGCACCATGTTTCTCTAGACAAGCTAGCAGCATAGAAAGGAGGTCCCTTGGGTCACCACATGTGAGTAATAACAACTAACCCTTTATCAAACTTGACTTTATTTCTTTTTTATTATTAAGGAACACTTACAGCTTGCACAATAGCAAACATGCAAAAAGATAACAGATCCTACATTAAATTATGCTTTGATAAGTATATCTAATCGCAATAGGAATGTTAATTTTTTTTTATATCCTTGAGGCATATTTTTGAAGAATATTAAACTCTTATTTTTTAATTTTTTGCATAATCAATAAATTCGTGTCGTGGTACGCGTGGTACCTTCGTTATCTCAGGTTTCTATAAAAAAGGCAAAAGCTTCTTAGTTTGAGATTTGCGGAAAATGTATGTAATATTGCTGAATAATTATTCATACAAATTATTTTTTGCTTAGTTGTTGTCAGATAAATCAATGCAATATGAAAAATAGAAACCAATTTTCTAAGTATATGATTTCATTAATTCTTTTAACAGCTATTACACATTTGAAATTGTTATGGCGTGAGTAAAGACGCCATAATAGAGATTACACCATTTAGATCTGGTTTGCTCTTCTGTTACAAATAGAGCATCGACACAGCGTCGAACACAGCGCTGTCACAGATTTAAAGGTTCAATCAAATAAAACCTTTTTTACCTTTCGTTTCATGAGCTTTAAACTCTATGCAGTTCATTTTTGCAAGGAGCCTTCAATTAGCTCCGAGCGTTACGACATAAAGATGTGCTACGAGAACTCTTAGTGCACATTAATACTACTACGTAGATTACGGCTACGGCTGTAGCAAAGATAAAACATCCTTTACGATTAAAGTGCTCTTTACCTGAAGGACAAGCCAAATAGGTCAACTGGTAATAAAAAAATATTATACTATGTCAGTAGTTAACTTAACGTTTGCGTGTAATAAAGGTATTTTAATGTAATCATAAAATATTGAGAAAAATTACTGTACTATATAACATCATTACTGTAAATATACAAATTTATCAACATTTATTCTTCAACGATTTATGTAGTGTAATACGCCTTTCATCTCAATTTCTCTTCACCTTTCTGCTAATATTAATTACAAAACTTGCCAGCTTATAATACCAACAAATTGTGCTTAACAAAAGTTTGAATTTACGGCATCTATAGATTTTGAATATTCCTTCAACTGTAAGTTGGTAATTAAAAACTTTTTGTTTATATTAAACTGAATCGTTAAGATATAAAGTTAGGAAATTAAAAGCTGTTTCAAAATTACATAAAACATATTTTATTTTAAAAATGTTACTATAAACTATATATATATACATTATATAGAGATTACAATAGTTCAACATAGAACCGGATTGTGCTCATTCATTTATAATAGAAATGACTACTGGGTGAAGAAAAAGATTTTCTATTTACTCCGTCACTCAGATAATTGAAAAATATTAGATACGTATTTTTTTGCTTCAATTTAAACAAGAAACGACTTAGATAATAGCACTAAAGCTAAAGAGTTGGGGCTCGCTAAGTCACAGTTTTCTAGAAAATATACAAAAGCGTGACGTCATGTGACATTTTAAGTCAATGTATCGTTTAAATTTATTGATTACGCAAAAAATAAAAAATAAAACACGTATTTAATATTTTTCAATAATCTACTTGACGGAAACAAAAATTAGTCGCCATCCCGATTAACTAGCGCTTGTCCCGCGACTTTGAACGCGTGAATGTCATCCGCGTTAGGGAATGCAATCTCGTTCTCGCGAGATCTCGGTCTTTTTAGCGTGATTGATCTCGGTTGAAAAATGGGCGAGATCTTGCGAGTTTAACGAGATTTCACTGGAGCATAAAATTTTCTAACTTTCGATTTATTCTAAGTGCGGCAGCGCGAATATATGCGATTATACTATAGATTTGTGTACCTGGATGACTAAGCTTTACTTGGCACTTTTATAAAATAAAAAATTAAATCTAACTAAATCGATTTATCGCCTCTGAAAGCCTGCATACAAATTGTTGGAGCCGTTTCGAGATTATAATACAGTAATTGCTCTTTTAAAGGCTTTAGATAAAAAAATATAATTGCGTCAACCAATGTTAAATACATAAAACTTTATTGAAAATACCCTTAAAAAATGTTTTTTTCATAATACCTATAATTCCTATATCTTTTCTAATTAATTCAAATATTGTGAGTTGAATAAATATTACAGTAAAACAGTAAACACACAAAAGTGCCAATCTCGCGAGGTCTCGTAATTGGCGAGATCTAGCGGTATTGATATTCATAAACTCACGAGGTCCCGCCCGCGTCCCAATCTCGCGAGATTGCATTCCCTAATCCACGTATTATGTAGTTTGGAAGCTAAGGGAGTAAGTGAAAGAATTTTCATAATCAGATCAGTATTTTTTAAAGATTAGTCCCAACAAATAAAGTTAGAAACTTTTTTCATTTCTTTTCTGAAATAGCAGCAATAATTTACGTTCATAGAATTATTATTAGACATTATCTTCTAAGGCTGAAATATATGCTGTCAAGGTTGCCATATCTGCCCAAGACAAGCAACATTGGGTCAATGGGGTCGCCTAAGGCAATAGGAGGAAAGGCACAAACGCTACGTTTTCGTTTCTTCGTATATTTTGAACTATTATCTTTGAATGCCTTATGAAAGTAATATTGGTTTAATAAATAATATCCTTATCCAATATAAAAATATCGTTAAATTTCATTTTATAATCGATTTTTTTTTTCAAATGTAATAGGTAATGTGGTAGATTTGAAATTACAGTAAATTGAGAAAATGGATACTTTCCTTGATCAATTTGATTTTTTTATAGGACAGTAAAACCTTAGTTTAGGCACTGAAGCTCTGATGATGGCTAATATATAAAAAATGCTACTAGAAATGTTAATTGATATTATATTCATTGGTGTAAATTTTTTGACAGTACGCCATTTACACAATAAAAAAGACAATAGTACCTAAATTGACAGGATTTAAGATATTTTTTTCCTTATACTAATGACCTTTAGGAGCTCCGGAAGGTCATTTTTTTATTATATGAATAATCACGAATGTTCGTTAGTCCCTATCCTGATAAATTTTGTAAATAGAATTGCTATAATTTACTAAGTATTTTCAAATTGTATACAATCATCCATTGGTTTATTATTATTTATTTATTGCTTACACTCGATATATATATCTATATAATTCAGCTTTTTTTTATATCGAATACACATTTCTGTTAAAAAAACTAAATTGACTATCAAAAAATCACTATTCCATAACAAAATACTTACTTTTAGGTCCCAAATCCCAATAGTGTTTCAGAAATCTGAAAGAACGATCTGGAGACTATACGACCTCTGTAGCCGAGTGGTTCGCACGCCGGTTTCAAGGTGTCGCCCTCTCTGAGGTCACGGGTTTGATTCCCGGTCGGTTTAATGTAGAAAATGTACTCTTCTATATTGTTTCGGGTTTACGTGTTGTGGTACCTTCGTTGTCTCAAATACTCCATAATACGGGGCTTTAGCTACTCGCCTTCGAATCTGGAATTATTTATTTATTTAACAAAACAAATGAACATTAGGATTACTTACTTGATCAAAGAAAGAAATAGGTATATTTATCCTTGTTCGAATGGTTTGGCGTTTTTTCTTCCAACGGGAAACAAACGACTCTGTAAACGTCGACGCCGTCCTGCCCGGGCCTTATCAATCAATCAGACTCATAGATTAGACGGTCACAGTGCACGGCTACTTACTTGAGCTTTATGGATTGTTAATTGCAATGCTCCTCCAACCGATTATCTATATTGAAGACAACTTCAAAGCCATTGCAATATTAAAAAGTTAAACTAAACATCAGCAGGCTAATTCCGTTAATGTTTGCATAATAATCGGATCTCAATAGAATTTTAAAGACTTACATTTTAAATATCTAATTTTACCATTTTACCATTGCCCATTGTTTTACCATTTAAATAATATTGGACTTCAGGTAGATAGTATAATAGCAAAATGTAAGTAGCTGAGATTCTATCGAACTGCGATTGTTAGGTTAATATTAGAATCCCATCTCAGAGTACCAGGGACAAAGTGAATTTCTTAAGAATAGTTTTCAGTATAGTATTATAATATAAAATTGATTAAATATAATAATTTAAAGTTTTGGCGTACAGGCTCTGTTCTCCTTAAATCGACATTCGGTATATCTTGTACTGGATTAGTTATCCTTATTATGTCTTAGAGTAGAGATAGAGCAAGATGAAGTTTACGATATTTCGAAAATTGCATGAAATCTTAAGAAATAATATAATATGGCATACTTTTGTTTGTTCTTATTGAATTTATACACTTTAAGTTTACCTAAAACGTGCGTCAAGTTAGCAGACCCACCAACGAATTTCTCTCTGCGCGAGTACAATGAGGACTTTGACGATTTTGATTACTTTTGTAGCTTTTATGAAGATAAAAATAGAAAAAGTTCTATTCATTAATTTATTACAATTGAGCCATTTTCAGAAGCTTAATAAATATCTTTAAATAAAAATGGGTCAAACATTCACCAGTCTTAGGTATCCCGTGATGGAATTAGAAAGCATAACAAAACAGTCTCCCGGTATCTCGGGGTACCAAAAGACTGATGATTTTTCTCAAATTTTTTTATGAAGAATATTTCTTTTTATTCTAATTAGTTTTATTATAGATTCTAATATAGAGGGTCGCTTTTTCAAAATGGCTGAGTAACTCTTATATAGATGTACGACAAATTAAGATATTGCCTTTTCATTAATTTTACGTAGATGTTGAGTGGTTCACGTCTATTACTTAAGCATTACGACGGCTTCAAAATTATATTATCTTTAATGGATATGGAAAATTAATTATTTATTCAAATATGAGTAACTAATACTTAGTGATAACGAGATCCTATAATGATCACGTTAATGACGTAGGTAACGAGGGTGATGTGGACACTACTGGTGCGGAAACAAAACACTAATGGTATTTTTTAAATATGTAAAAACAGGTCACACCCAC